AACACTCTTGCTGGTTTTGGTGACGGAGGGGGCCACGTGCAAAGCAATGCAGTGGCCTCTAGGAGCTGAGAATGTCCCCGACCCACACCCTGTAAGAAATGGGACCTTAGTCCTAGCCCCATGGCAGTGAATTCTACCAATTGCCTGAATGAGCCTGCTCCAGGTGTTGACACTTTGATTTTGGCCTTGGGAGGCCCTGAGACAAGGACCTCCCCGCAGGACTTCTGACCTCCAGGACTGAGAGATAATAAATGCGAGTTGCTTTAAGCTAAGTTTGTGGTAGTGGGTCATAGCAGCAATAGAAAGCAAGCTCTTTCTATTCTGATGTTGCAAACACTTTTTATATATGTCGTAAATAGTTTTTCAAGTGTATCATTTGTCTTTTTAAACTTTCCCCTCAATTATATTTAATCTTCCCAATTTCATCATCAGAGTTCCATTTTGGGAGGTGTCCTTCGCGGTCAGCCCCGACAAGCACGTAACTCCTGAATGCAAAACAGATTCCTGGGTCCTGCCCCCAGAGTTTCTAATTCGGGAGGTCTGGGGGAGGCCTAGGAATTTGCATGTCTAACCAGTGCCCCAGTGGTGCGGACGCTGCAGGCTCGGGGACCGTTCTGAGAACGCAGTTCTCCCAGCCCCAGGAGGGTCCTTAAGGCCCCTCCCAGGTGGAAAGAAGCTGAGCTCCACCCTCCGGGGGCGGGCCCCTAGAAGCTCCGCCTCCACACGCGAGGCCCGCGTTCTCATTGGCTGGTATCGAAGGGCATCCCCTACGTCACAGTGCTATCCGCTCCTCCTCCCGAACTCCGGGGGCGGGGACCCTGCGCCTGCGCAGTGGAGGGCGGCACTCCGGCTCTAAGTTTCCGTGAGCGTCCTGGCGGCGCGCGGCGACCCCATGGCGGAGTCCGATCCCCTTCTGAGCCGGGCCCGCGGCGACAGCGGCCGTGACTGCCGGGCTGGCTTTCCCGCTTGCCGCAGCGTCCAAGTCGTACGGTTGGCTCAGCATAATGGCCGCGTCGTCCATCCAGACCTAATGATCTGGTAATTATGGGGGATGATGATAGCAGTGAGAACCTCAAATGCCAGCCAAGCCTTATAAAACCGTGCGCATATCCACACCATGGAGCGTACCCTGACCATCTTCTCTGAGGGCAGCTGCTTCACCATGTAGGCCTCTGCCACCTGCCGGCCTGTACGCCCCGCCCTGCGGGCGCCCGGTGCGCAGCTGGCGGCGGTCAGGTGCTGCGGGGTGGCGCCTGCACCCTACGGGCTGGGCGGAGGGCCCTCGCGGGCCTCGCCCATCCCCGAGCCAAAGGGCCTGGGGGCAGCCGGGGGCAGCCGGGGACAGCCCCCTTGGAGTGCCCGGGGCGGACCCACACCGCGCGCTTCCCGCGGATCGCCTTGGTGACTCCCAGGAGGCATTAATTAGATCCATTTCTCCCCCGGTTTTTACCGGGGAAACTGAGGCACAGAAAGGGGCGTTCTCCTATCCGAGGTCACCCAGCCAAGAAGCGGCCGAGGTGGGATTCGCTGGGAGTGACCTGCGAGTGCTTGTGCGCTCCTTTCCCATTCCTGGTTCCTGGTCCCGGAGGCTCCTCAGAGGCCGGTCCCCCTTCAGCTGGGGGTCGGGGCAGGCTTGCCCAGACCCGGCAGCTTCCTCCATTCGCCCTCCGCAGCTCCCTCCTGCCCTTCCTGTTTACTGGCAGAGAGATTGCTGAATCCCGAGGAGGGCCTGTGGCTGGGGAGGGCGGCGTCCATCCGCCCCTGGCAGACACCAGAGGGGTTGGGCGCTGGGTTAGGGGCTGAAGGGCCTGAGCCCCATTTTCCAGAGAAGCGCTTGCGCTCTACTTTCTGAGGCTCAGGGAGGCTCCGGGACCTGTCAGAGGACACAGCCCCGGGATCTGGTGCTGACTCCGCCAGCACCTGGCTGGGTGCTCCTTCTGGGGCGTGTTCCCTCTCTGGGCTCACTTTCCTCTGCCCGGGAGGGGTCGGCGGTGTGTGCCCGCCCGTGAAATATCAGTGGTGGGTCCCTGACAGGAGATGAGAAAACTAGAGGCTGAGGTGGTGTCCCGCCTGCCCATCTCAGAGACTGTCCCCGAAAGTTCTCCATCCAGCCCTTGCCAGGCCTTGAAGGGCCCTGGACAGGGACATATGGTGGCATTCAGTGCGGGCACAGACTTAGTGTCTGGAGGTCTGGGTGCCTTTCTGGTGCTGCTGCTTCCTGGCTACGTGACCTTGGCAGGTTGCCTAACCCTTCTGAGTCTCGCTAAAGGGGCATATTATAGGGGCGCCCTGAGGGGCATTGAAGATTCAGAGAGAATCTGGAGACACCTCAGCATGGGGTGGGGCCAGCCTGGGGAGCTGGTGTGTCACCCTGGGAGGAGGACTGTGATCACAGCAGGTCCCACCCCTGTCAGAGCGGACTGCAGGTCGGTGGAGACCCGTACTGTAGAGGCAGGAGCCAGGGTGGGGGGCAGGCTCTTTGTCCTGACGCTGTGGCCTCAGCATGGGCTCCTGAGAATGTGAACAGGGCCTCCCTGACAGGCTGCCCGGCTGGGTCTGGCTGGGGGCAGTGAGTGGGGACTGAGAATGGCTCTTTCAGTCTCTGCCCAGCTCCCCGGGGTGGGCCTTGTGCCCAGGGTTTGCATGTCCCACAGTTGGGTGCTCCTACCGGCGAGGGTGGGGAGTGTCACTGCCCGGCCCTGTGGACCCAGCGGGCCCTGTGGGTGGGTCCTCTGGACTCAGCCCCATGTGATGGGCCACAGGGCGAAGATAGTCGTCTTGTCCTTCCTCTTCCTGGCTTTGAAAGAGTCGGGGGATGAGGGATCGCTGTGCTGTAAAAGGGGCTTTTTAATAATGCTAACAACAACAACAACAACAATAATAACAATAACAGTAAGAATAGTAGCAGCCAATGCTGTGAAGTCACTGCGCCGCACTTGAGCCGTGGGAACCCGCCCGGTGTGTGCGTCGGGCCTGTGGCGTAGGGCCTTGGAGGAGTCGAGGCACAGAGGTTGGGGGCTTGTCCGGGCTCGCATGAGGCGCCGCTGGGGCTCCCCACAGGCTGTGCAGCGTGGAGCAAGAGGAGAGGGGCCTTTAGACCCGGACGCCGGGCTTGGGGCAGGGAGGCTGGTCCAGGGCTGATGTGGGATGTTGTCCTCTGTGCTCCCCGATATCCCCCCCTGCTGTGTCCAGTGGGGTACCGGGGGTGCCTGCAGGTGATTGCCTCCCAGAGTGATGGTTTCCTGGGCCACCGAGGTGGGAGGCAGTGCTCTTGGTAGGGCTCACAGCCTCGGCAAGGGCATGGAGGCCTTGGAGAGCTTGACCTTGGAGCCAAGTTCAGGGCGAGTGGCCTGGAGGGCATGGGGTGGAGGAAGCTACAGGAGAGGAGGCGGATGGGCAGAGGTGGGCGCCCACACTGCCAGCTCGGGTGGAGCCTTTCTCCTGGGGCAGTGGCACTCACAGGAAGTGATGCGCTCACCAGGGTTTGCGACAAGACCCGCTGGCTGCTGCAGGATGGGGGAGAGGCCGGCGCTGGGGCTGCGGAGCAGGGGGGACGGCCCTTCCTGAGGTCTGGTGCCCCGAGAATCGAGAGCCCTGTGAGCTTGGGTGGCCTCACCTTGAATGTTACAAACCAACCACCCAAAGCCAGATGAGAGTGTTGGGTGCTGGACAGTTCTTGGGGCGCCCCATACCCTTGGCCTGGCTCACCCAGGACTGAGCCACTTCCGCTGCACCCCAGTCCTGGGCCTGGAACAAGCTTGGGGCCTCTGGTGCCTCTCTCTTGTCTAGGAAGCCATGTCCTCCCATCTCCCTGGCTGAGTCCGTCTCTTCCCAGGGGGTTTGGTGACATGGGGCCTCCTGCAGGCCCTCACACCACCGGGCCCTCCCAGGCCCCCTCAGGGCCGTGCACTCATCCACTCGGTGAGCGAGCTGCGTGCCGAGCCCCACGCTGTCTGGGCTCTGCGGGCGCAGCAGGGAACGAAAGTGCCTCCCGATCACAGTGTCCCAGGACGCTCTCGGGGAAGCGGGCAGTCACCACGCTCAGCCGCCCCGGAAGAACTTTGAGGGGTCTCAGGGTGAGCGTGGAGGTTGTACAGGTGGGGAAACTGAGGCCCAGACAGGAAGTTTCCCGCTCTGGGAGATGCGGCAAGGCGGTGCAGAGCCGGGATGGAGCCCAGCCTCCTTCTCCATCCGGGGCCCCCCATCCCCGATTGGCCCCCGGGCCCTGCTGCATGGTCCCCGAGGACAGGGCGGCTCTGCCCGCCTCTGGCTTTGGCACCTCTGCTCTAGGCCCGTCCCCAGTTCTGCATTCTCTTTGGACTGTCAGGGTGGTGTCGGCAGCTGTCGGCCCTGAGGGACCAGACGTGAAAGCAGAATTATCAACAGAAATGGCGACAGGGCTGCTCATCTCACTTCCGAGCCCGGATCCAGAGGCCGATGGTGGGACAGGGCAGGAGGGCTCTGCTCCCCCCGGGGCCCGCCGCCTGGGCTGCAGCCTTCCCTGGCCTCGGGCACTGGGGTCCCCCGGCCCCGTGTCACAGCTCTATCTGCCTTTCTTCTCCCTTCGCGTCGGTCAGCAGCTTCCACAGCAAAGCCCCAGGGGCTGCACTTGCCCATGGTGTGGTGGGCAGAACCCAAGGCCATGTCATCGCTGGCGGCTCCTTGACCACAGAGGGCTGGGGGCCAAGGCTGCTGAGCCGCAGGTGCAAGGACGGATCCCTCTGGCCTGAATCGGACACGCGGGCCTCCTCGCAGCCATGGCCTGATTTTTCTTCAGCTTCAACGCGTGAGGCCTGCAGCAGATTTTTATACCCAAGCCCGACTTGTCCCGAAGGCCCCTTGTCGTCGGGAGTCTGCCTGGGCCCACAGAGCCCCATTCCGTCGTCCTGTGGGCTAGGACACGGTGACCTCAGGTCTTTCTTAGTGCGCAGTATTTGATGGAGAGGCATGAGGCGCCTCGTGGTTCCAGATCATTTTCGCTTGTGACTGTTACGTCTGTGATGCCGTTGGACGGAGGGTGGCCGGTGGTGCTGCCCCACCTTACAGTCGAGCTGACGAGTGAGGCGTCCTGACCGAGGCCGCGTGGAGGCTGGCGTGGGGCGGGGCCGAAGGGCAGCCACAGCCGCCCCGAACTGAGCGTGCTCTGTGTGCCGGGCTGGCCTGGCGGCTCCCGTGCCCATGTCACCCCTCTGGGGGCTGAGCTGGGTGCCCATTAACACCCCCATCTTGCAGAGGGGGAGATGGTTGCACAGGGAGTAAGCCAACACCCACAGTGGGGGTGGCTGAGATTGGAACCCCCAGGTCTGGTTCCAGGCCTCCCTGTTCTGGGGCCGGGAACTGTGGGCCCAGAGCACCGAGAAGACCCTTACGTGCTCAGACCCTGCCCCACACGGCACGGCGGGCCGGGGTGGGGGTAGAGCTGCCCCAGGGCCAAAGGCCCAAAGGCGTCTTGTTCAGAGCCTGGGACAGAGCGAGGCCAAGCTCTCTCCTTGACCTCAGTTGTCCTGCAGGGGGTGAGCATCGCGTGAACCCCTCCTCACCCAGTGTGTCCTCTCTGCCCGCAGATGCTGCTGCCGGGTGGGATCTGAGCTTCGACCAAGCCGTGGTCTTCATTGAGGACGCGATCCAGGTGAGCAGGGCCAGCTCGTGGTGGCTGGGCCTGGGCTTGTCTCCGGGGCCCTGGGGACTGGGCGATGGCCGTCCCGATGGTCCCTTTACCCTTCGCCATTCTGGGGCCAAGGCTGAGGTTGGTAGACCGTGTGGGCCATGTAACCGTGATGGCCTGGCCTTTGGGCACGGTCTCTTTGAGTCCTTGCTAGAGCAGGTGGGCGCCCGATGCCCTTCTGAGTCCCCAGTCATCTGCTTCGTTGGTTTACCACCCACGGTTGTCTGCTGGCCCGGTCCCAGGGCATTAAACATACTCGAAGATGACAGGACCGTCCTCTCCTGCAAATGACACACAGGCTCACTTGGGGAAGTAGCACGTGGACGTGAGCCATGCTCCACGTTCTGAAGTAGGCTGTGGGGTAGAGTGTGGGCCTTGCACAGAGGACACAGCAAACGCGTGTCCCTTTGTGGACCTCCCTGCCCCGGGGACCTGGCCTTTGGGGGCTCCGTCTGCCAGGTGAGCCTCGCAGCTGGGTCATGAGGGGGCGCCCTGGCCGTGTGGCGAGCTGAGCTCGGCCTGTGATCCACAGCCTGTCTGCCCGCCTTGGGCCTGCTGCGGGGTGAGGGGGGTGCCCAGCACGTGGCTGGCCGTGTCGTGTGGCGTCGAGGGGACCCCCCACTCACGCTCCCGTGTGATCTTTTGCTTCCAGTACCGCTCCATTAACCACCGCATGGACGCCCGGTCGATGTGGCTTTACCGGTGGTACTACTCGGACACGTGCCAGTGGTGAGGACACACACGGGACGCGGGCTTCCTGCGGCCCGGCCGGGGCGGGGGAGGCTGGTCTCAGGGTCCGGGCGGGCCCCGATCCCTGCGTGGGAGAAGGAGGTGCTGTCTCCCCTCCCGCTGGAAAGGAGCCCGGCCTGTAGACAGAGAGCTCCTCTGGGGAGGCTTCCATTCCAGAATGTTCAGTCAGCCATGGCACTTGAGTGTTATCTGACCGCACACGCGAGGCCACAAACCAGGAAGTGTGGCTTCCGCCCCATGGGCCCGTGGAGCCCGTCCTGCCACCCTGCCTGCGACCTGCTTTTCGGCTCCGGACTATGGCTGGTTCTTGTATTTTAGCCAGTTTTTATCCCTTTTCCAGGATTTTGAGCTTCGTCATTTTCTTGATCCTGGTTTTGGCTTTTATTGAGACCCCTTCCTCGCTCACCAGCACCTCGGACGTCCGCTACCGCTCGCCCCCCTGGGACCCGCCCTGCGGCCTGACAGAGAGCATCGAGGGGCTCTGCCTGCTGGTCTTCGTGGCCGACCTCTCGGTCAAGGTGAGCTGGGCGCTGACAGGTGCTGACGCTGGGGCCCAGCGTCCCCAGCCCGGCCGCTGCTTTTCTGCGTGATTTTTGATGCCCCTGGAGCTTTCCGCCTTTTCTCTTGACTGTGCTCTGTGAACCCGCTGAACAGAGGTCAGAGTTTCTTAGAAAATTCCGGGCCTTGAGGCAGAGGCTCTGTCGGCTCTCGTCCCTCCCGAGTGTCAGCTGAGTCTGGGTGGAGCCGTCAGGGTGCGCAGCCTTGCAGGACCTGTGGGAGTGGCTGAGGGTCCCGCAGCACCGCGGTGAGGGACGCTGACCCAAGGAGAGAGGACCGGTGTCCCTCCCACGCCCACCCTCCCGCCCCCGAGAGCAGAGAAGCAGGGAGGAGCTGGGCAGGCGCGGGAAGGGGCTCACGCAGCCGCTGCTACGTGTCCGACTCTGGGTTCTGTCTGAGGCCCGAGCCCTCGCGGAAGCTGGAGCCGGGCCTGCCTTGCTCGCTTGAGCTTCTGGTCCGCGTCAGAGTCTCAGGGCCCTGGGGACTTCCCAGGGAGGTGCAGAGTGGCTGGGTCTGTTACTCTGTCAGACAAGGGTCCCAGTGTTCCCATCCGAGCCCTCTGCCCGCAGGCTCTGGGTCACGAGGCGCCCCGGCCTTCTGCTGAGGAGGGGCCGGCAGCCTCTGGGTGCTGATGGCCAGGGCGTGGGCGAGCGTTGGTGCGTGTGTGACCGAGGGCCCCGGGCAGTTTCTGATTCCTTCTTTTTTAGCCCATTATGCGGTTAGGAGGTCTCGGGGGTTTTTTAACTGGAACTGAAACCAGCGAGAAATTCTCATTAGCGTAGTTTGAATGGTCGGTATGTTTGGGAACTCTCAAAAGGTGAGCGTGTACACGCTTTTCTCTGTAAGCGGTGACTTGTGGGGCGTCGGCCTTGCTGGGAAGCAGCAGTTAGGCGAGGGCAGAACTGGCGACAAAAGCCCCCCCAGAGCCCCGCAGTGTGGTGGGGTGTGCCGGAGCCCCCGCTTCCATTTCCTGGTGTTCTGCAGAAGCCCTGTGTCTTCGTATTTTGCCGCACAAGCTAAGTTGATGGTCGGATGGGCAGAGCAGGCAGGATCCACACCAGGAATGAGGAAACCAAGGCCGGAGCCATTAAGTGCAGAGCTCGAGGTCACCGGGGAAGGGGGAGCACTGGGTGGGGGGAGCTTAGCTTCCTGCTCCCCGAGTCCCGTGGAGACACAGTGCTCGCCGAGGTGCTCTGTGCTCTGGCCACCGTAGCCTTGTCCGTGCTCACGGTTGGCCCTGGCTGGCCGAGGGGCTGGTGTCTGCATGGCTGCCCCCCTGCCCCCCCACTCACCCACTGTCTCTCTTGCAGAGCTACCTGGTGGGATGGGCCCAGTTCCAGAAGAGCCTCTGGCTGCTGGACTACCTCGTGGTGCTGGCCGTGTCCCTCGTGGATTGGACGGTGTCGCTGAGTCTCGTCTGTCGGGAGGTAGGTGGGGAGGTGGGCTGCAGGGCGCAGCTGCCAGGTGAGTGGTGAGGGGTAGTCTCAAGGCCCTGCAAGGGCCCCCCCCCACCTTCCCTCCCGTCCCCGCC